CGGAGGGGGCCAGAGTTTGGAGTGCACCGTCATTGGCAGGACTTCTGGTGCCTCGTCAAATCTTGCTGTCGTCGGAAACGTTTCGGGCAATGCATGCAGATCAGCGGCAGTGATTCCCTATCGGCTGCAGCAAGACGTTTTCCACGGTTGCAGTTATGGCGGTTAAAACCAGCCCGGGACTTGAAGCAGCGATTGCAGCGTTGACAATGCTGGAAGCAGCAACTAGCGAGAGACGCCGTCAATGCCGTATCTGCATGTTCAGGGAGTGCAGGCTGGCAGCGATGAACTGCAAGCCCACCCTTACTACGGAACCATCGGCAGCAACTGACGCACTGTGCTGAACCACGCTGTTGGTGGACGGGAAGTTGGCGCTCAGCCAAACACTTGTGCCGTGCCTTGTCTTGAGGACGAGAGAAAGCCCGGTTGCAAGATGAGCAGAGTACGGATTTCTCTACTGCCCGAGGAGGCTGAAAAACCAGAACCTGCTCTCGCCAAGCTGACCGGTCTTGTGCGCAATCAAACCAGTTTGGAATGGACTTCGTGTCAGTAGCCACAACGTCTCTCCACCTACGCCTGGGACCGCAGAAGGGGCGCGCAGCCAACAAACGACCAAACAACAGCTGCAATGGGACACGGTCCTCCGACATCCGAGCCACATGACCAAGCCACTCTAAACGACGATGGCGCATCTTAACAGAGAGTGGCACTGGGTCACCCCAGTGACGACGTAACTGCGCAGACGTGATGCGATCGGATTGCTGCTGACTGCGAGGGATGGCTAATATTGTGCGGATGCAGCGATGATGAAAGGCATCCAAACGTCTACTATCAGCTTTCAAGGGCGTCCAGCACTCACTGCCGTACAGCAAAATGGACAAGACACAGGCCACGTATAGCTTTCGCTTACTGACTAATGACAGCGAGCGATCCGACAAGACTGGAAGAAGAGCTCCAAAGGCTTTGGAAGCCTCAGCTATGCGGCGACTGACGTCAGTAGAGGAGCGGGCATCCGGTGTCACGACGGACCCCAGATAAATGAAGGATGGAACGTGCTCCACAGTATCACCGTTGACGTTCATATCGGCTCTATCAGGCATGTTGACTTGGCTACCTGCCACGAGAAATTTCGTTTTAGCAGCGTTGACGCAGAGGCCAAAGGAAGAGGCAACCGTGCAGAATGTTTCAAGGCACTTCTCAGCACCAGGGCGGTCTTCAGCGAGCAAGACCGCGTCATCTGCGTACTCAATGTCGTTGATGATTGCGGCAGTAGACTGGCGAGCGGGCTTTGAGAAAAGGTTGCCATTGATGCTAAATTGGATGGGGATGCCAGGTGGATGGTCGCTGTCCTGCATCATTTGTGCCCACCGCTCAAGCACAACACCGAAGTACAGATTAAAAAGTACTGGGGCCATCACACAGCCTTGACGGAGGCCATTGTTGACCGCAAACGGCTCGGTAGTGCTGGCACCGACGCGCACAGCTGCCTGCATGCTCTCGTGGAACGATTGGATTAGATTGAGGAGCCCTTCAGGAATGCCTAGCCTCCCCAATGCTAGCCAGAGTGCTTGGCGTGGTACGGAATCATATGCTTTCTTCAGGTCTACGAAGACACAGAACAGCTTCTGACGGTGCTCGTACGATTTCTCGATGAGCTGGCGAATGGAAAAGATGGCATCAGCGCAGCCGCGACCAGGGCGAAAGCCACACTGGGATTCTGGAAGTTCTTGTTCCGCGACAAGTTGGAGACGGTCCTGAATGAGACGGCCACAAACCTTGCCAGCGACATCTAGGAGGGCAATGCCGCGCCAGTTGTTGCAGTTGGTCAAGTCACCCTTTTTGGGAATCGGGACGAGTTGGGCATCCCGCCAATCCTGGGGAACCGTTCCGTTGGTCCATGCAGTGTGAATAACATCAAGCAGAGCCTCAAGCAATGGTGTACCACCAGCTTTAAGCAGTTCAGGTGCAATTCCAGATGAGCCAGGAGCCTTGCAATTAGCCAGCTGGCGTATAGCCATAGTGAGGTCCTCTAGCGAGGGAAGTTGGCCGAGTGACTCATCAACTTCACGCTGCTCAATGTGGTCAAAGATGGTAGCATCGAAGGTGCTGCGAACGTTCAATAGACGGGCAAAATGCTGCAGCCAGCATTTCTCTTGCCCCTCCTGGGAGCTACAGATAACTCCGTCACTGCCACGGATGGATGGGATGGAGATAGGTGATAATCCCGAATAGCACTTCTGTATATCACGGATTGCAGACCATGCGTGCTTGCCACTAAACCGACTTGACTCAACCACATTAGCTTTACGTCCAATCCACTCACTCTTTGCGTTACGCACGGCAGTTCTGCACTTGCCACGAGCCTCGACAAAGCGACGCCTGTCAGCGTCAGAACCAGAGGCGAGCCATTTGCGATGTAAGGCATTGCGGCTATCCAGCATAGGTGCAAGAACATCAGCACACGCTTCAAACCAATCAGGCTGGCGACGACGTGGACGGCCAAGATGCTTCTCAGCGCTGGTGACGATAGCAGATTTGACGGCAGACCATTTGTCCTCAACGCAGCCATCATGATTCCAGGATCGTAACTCTGACGCAACAGACGTCGCATATTGTTCACGAGTTTTACAGGTTGCAGCTCTCTGCGCTTCCGTCATGCAGGAGTGTTTGACAAGTTGTTGCACATCAAACTTGACAGGTCTTTTTGCACGCTTGTGGCAAGCAGATGAGCGGATGCGGTATGTGAGACACACAAGGTTGTGATCTGTACTACACTCAGCTCCCCTGATGACATGGCAATCCATGCAGTTGGACAGGTCTTGTTCCCGGACCATTGCATAGTCGATGCAGTGCCACCGCTTCGAGCGGGGATGTTGCCAGGTACACTTGTGGATGTTACGTTTCATGAACCAGGTGTTGCACACAGTAAGGCTGTTGCACGCTAAAAACTGGAGAAGCTCAGCGCCAGCCTCATTGACAGTGCCAACACCATGTGGGCCACGTGTTCCATACCAGCCATCGTCACAGATTTCAGCTCCAACTCTAGCGTTGAAGTCTCCCAAGATTATCAAGGAGTCCTGGGTGGGTACGGACAGAATAACTTCCTGAAGAGAGTCAAAGAAATCGTTCTTTGCATCGCGACTGGACCGGAAAGTCGGTGCGTAGCACACCACGACGTGGACCCAAATGTCACCGAACTTTAGCTTGCAGCGTGCGACACGCGATGAGACAGCAGACCACTGATTTCCCCCTGCTACGAACGCTTGCTGTGCGCGTCCGCGTAGTACGACTCCAACTCCTTCGCCTCGTTTGAAATCGTCCGTTGGGATGGCGCGACCTGACGTGAGAACAATTGCATCCTCGACACGGAATATATCTTTACCAAACCACTTCGACTCCTGGAATCCAGCCACTTCTATTTCGTACCGACGAAGTTCACTGACAACGATGTTGATTTTCTTGTCTTCCACGACGCGCTTTCCACGAGCAGCAGTTGAAACCGGGCCATCGATGTTCACTAAAGTCCTGACGTTCCACGAAGCAAATTTGACAAGAGCACCAGCTGGGCGCCTCCGACGGGTGCCTCCAAACTCTGGCTGCTTTGAAGCTGAAACTCTACACATCCGAGGGGTAGCTAGCCCACTGCGGATGGAGGACTACGGACGACGCGACAGTGACAATATCAAATTCAAATAATTGTCCTGTAAGTCACGTCGTTGGATCCGCTGCCCTAAATTCAAAAGGTCTACACTTGACACGCCAGGGGCTCTCCTAGCAAGCTAGGAGAGCCCTGAGTGTACCTACGCTGCTTCGGAGGCTCTAACTAGTCTCAGCAAATAGAAAAATTCCGGAGCTAGAAAAATTCAAACTGTCCCCCAAGAAGACAGTCCACACACACCACACACACACACACATGCGCGCACACACACACACACAGAATTGGCAGCGGCATTCTCACCATGGTAAACGTTACTTTTCCACGTCCCCCTGTAAAAATGATCGCCTACTTTGTTGTAGATTTGTTCGCCTGATCCATCTCGCTGCCCGTCTTTCATATCACCCGAATAGCGTGCTCGTTTCTCACCGCGGTGCTCACCAGTGTGGGTCTTTGGTCCCAACGGTCTTTGCTTCGTTTCACTTGGATCACCGCCACCAGAGCGGTCAACAGTGGTACGTGCCGTGTGTTGGATGTGTGGAAGATGTGGAATTCCGGACCCTGCTGACCTGTGCGCCCCCCCGGCTTCTGCAGGCCTTGAGCCCCTAGTTGATGTCGATGGTTTTCTAGCGGCCATCTGTGTGAAGTGAAAGTGAGGTCATATAATAATCACTATTACACGTATGTAGAGAGAAAGATGTATGGATTATCCCAGGAGTACGATGGGTATACCGCTGAATATTTTCACGAGTGAGTCAGCACGAAGGAAAATTGTATGGGATACGGTATACACCGAGTATGAATGGTATAATGCATTTATCCCATGTACTGTCCCAAATAGAGCGTGACCAGCACTAAAATCTCCCTTATTTACTCTCTGGCATGACCCGGGGAATATCCGTGACCCCAGCGGGGAATATTATTGACCCCAGAGGGGAATATCGCTCTATATTTCCCGCTCAGAACGGCCGCTGATTGGCTGAAATCGTCCAAATCGCTTCGTACCATCGTACCATGGGTTAACGATACACACATGTACAGTGTAGCCTGCGTGAGGTTCAAGCTGTTTCGACCACGGTACCATAATATAATTTTTTCCTGCTACTACGATAGTTAGGCCCCGGCGGATAATGCTAGCATTATATCTAGCATATTTAGCCCTTTCTGGGAACTAGCATTGCACTAGCATAATCAGCAGGTTTTGCAGAAAACTAGCATATTCTTGCAAAACATGGGATCTTCGTGAGAATTAATTCACAATTCCCTAGCCCTCGCGATCGCGGGAGGCGGGCGCGCAGCCTTGATCATGCATGATGATGATAATTATGTCAGTGCAGCTTGCAGTGGTGTACTCTGCAGGCTAGATCCTCTATGGCTCTACATGTAGCCTTGTAGTTGTAGGCTTTGTAGCTAGGTTCCGCAAATCATGGCTTTTCTCTCACTCTACAAAGTTCAAGTCTAGAATCTGGGGTCACGCAAATCTAGCCTGGCGCCTAACTACAGGATTGTACACATAGTGTCAGTGACGTACAATGGCCATCTTCCACCACAACTAATACTTCAGTCATGTAGTAGCTAGCGAACCAGTTACCTAATTTCCTTGTGACTTCCAGTTCCAGTACTCGTGCAAGACTATTGCAATCTTTGTTGCCATCTCGAGGACGGTCGATCGGATCCGTACGGGACCAGTCGATTGCAGAGAAATATACACGCAAACTAATTATAGAACTGTGTTCGCATCCGAAAACACTGGTTCACTTCAAATCTTCAATGTCTAGCCCTCTACCATGTCTACTACTTGTAGTAGATCTATGACTCTGGCTGGGAGTCTGGGCACAAGCGTTGGGAAAAAAAACTTGTGATGGGTGTACATGAGAAGGCGGTGAGAATGGGAGCGTTTTGTTTCCACTAACATTAAATTTTGCTTATTATTCTTTGTTAGCTGATGAAGAACACACATCATGGCTATGTCCGAGCAAGCAGCCAGAGACATCGTTGATCTAGTAAGCAGTAGCGATGATCACTTTGATTCCGAGTTGGACGATGAAGACGCCTCAGAATCAGAGTCCGAAGAGGACGAGGTCAGGACAGCGTGTGAACGTCTTCCCGAACCAGCCAGAGTAGCGATTTCCCGAAAACGATCTTTCCAGAGAAGTGGGAAGGAGTCCGTCGCTAAGCGTGGGCGAATTGCCGATGGAAGTTCCACATTGACACCTCGTGTCAGCGTCCACCATCGCGTGCAGCAATTTCCAGGGGAATATTTGACTGTGTCCAGTGGGAAGATTTACTGCAGTGCTTGCAGCCAGACAGTTCAACCGAAGAACAGCATTGTGAAATCACACATTTCGAGCCAAAAGCACAAGACGGCCAAATAGCGAAAGTCACGAGCCCAGCTACACCAGCAAGCGCTAACAGCTTCGTGGGAGAAGTACACTACAGACCATAAGAAGGAGCTGGCAGGAACAGGGCTATCTGGTGCTGTAGCCAATGATGTCCTCATTCGAAGAGCCACGTTGTAGAGTCTTTCCTCAAAGCAGGTGTGCCTCTGAGTAAGATAGACCACCTTCGTCCGTTGCTTGAAAGCAACTACTGTCGCATGACGTACAGCACTCACATGGCACAGTTGGTGCCGTTCCTGTTGCAGAATGAGCAGTCTATCATCAAGAAGGAGATTGCATCTGCAGCTCATCTCACCGTTATTTTCGATGGTACTTCACGCCTTGGTGAGGCTCTTGCTGGTGTCAGTATGGTGTCCTCCGCTACGTCGATGGCGATTTCAACATACACCAACGGCTTGTACGTTTCTCTGTACTGTCCAAAAGCCTAGCTGGTACCGAACTACCTCGAGAGCTCATCACAGTTTTGTCAACACAGCTGCAAGTTCCGAGCCACAAGGTTCTTGCCTTTGTCCGAGACTGTGCAGCTGTTAATGGTGTTGCTGTTAGGGTGGTAACAGATCTTTTTTTGACCCCATATAAAGTGGCATTAAATTGAGCACAACAAGCATTAAAACTAGCATAATGTGCCACTTTTACTAGCAGTGCTAGTAGCATAATCGCCGAAAATAACTAGCATTATCCGCCGGGGCCAAACGATAGTACTTCAAAGTAATATCAGGGAAAGATGTGCTATGTGGGTCATCGCATGTTATGTCATGATATAAGTGTCACAGAGTGCATACACCCCCTCCTTTCTTTGAGGCATTGGAACGTACAGCTTTTTTGCGTCACAGACACAATGCAGCAAGAGTTGGCCAAGGCTTTTCTTTTTCAATGTGCCAGACATTTCCAGCGTGCAACTTGGCACGTGCAATCCTTTTAGAACTACCAAATTCCTTCTCCGCACAATTGCATAGGTAGGGAAAAGGCTGGGGTAACGTATTGCATGCGCATACACAGACTTTTTAAATAATATTCTCAGAGCAGAGTCCTGGTACCAATGCTTAGCAGCTTTTCTGAGCAACAGGCCATTTGGAAAGCGCGATGACTGCACATGAGAGATAGATACAGTTTCCTACATAACAGTTCTTACAGTGATTTCGGGCAGGGCCTATGGAAGGTGTGCGCTACTGACTGTCGAGGACGGCAGTTCCTTCGAGATGGTGTATTTCCGCGCACACCAGCGCTTCGCTATGCGGAGCAGACGACGGCGCTATCCGGACATACCCCGATGCATGCTATCCGTGATTAGCGTGCACAAACACTAAACTTAGTGTAGATCGCTCACGACACACAACTCCCTGCCAGAGAGCGAAGACCGCAGAGCAAGAGAGTATCGATAAACCCTGGCACAGTGGCAGAAATAGGTGGAACTGATCTCACTTGCTGTATTTTCGAATCTCCCTGTCTCACCTCGGCTTTAGCACGGGATCCACTGCAAAGTTTTGCGTAAAGCGATGTTGTTATCCGCACACAGTCTGATACAAACCAAGCAGCTGAACATCGACACAGTCATCATGTGCGCGTTCACACTGCAGTGCAGTAGACCTACTGCAATGTAGATCTACTGCCGGCACAGTCCAGGAACGAAAGATTCTCAGTAGATCTAGGCCCCTGGCCTAGGGCTAGGGCCCGGCCCGGGGCGTTCATCAACCATGTCAACTGTTCGAACAAATAATAACGGTGGAATGTCCTGGCGATGATGACGAACGATCAGATCGACCATCTCCACGTACTACGTCACAGTACGTGACCAAACTCTTCGGAACTAATCCACCTCTCCCATCGGATGAGGTTGTGGAGTTTCGAGGAGCTTCGTGTTTCTGAAGACTTCAAGAGGCCAATAAGGCCACCTCTTCAGAAAAACGAAGCTCATCGAAAAGTCAAAGAGTGGTAATTCGAACGCGCCCCTACACGACTGTACTATTCATTATTGTCTAGGGCCAGTAGGGGCGGCGGCGGCCCGAGCAGTGAGTACCGTATCGTAGTCATACGAGTAGCGATTAGTGGAGTGTTTTTTGCCACTCTTGCCTATAACTACTAGTCTTGGTCTGTTGAACTGAGCAACAATCAGGCAATCAACCCAGACCCAGACTAAGAGTCAGACCCTGCCCCTGGTTTGCAGCAAGCCCCACACTGACCTGGCTAGAAATATCTGTCATGTTAGATCCCTGCCCGGACCTACATGTACATGATCAGTCAAGAATTACGGTGAAATGGAAATAAAAGGCACGGCTCGTGAGAGAACCAGTGCGACTAACAATTACATGGTTTTCCACAATAAGATCACCACCATGATGCCGCGCCCTCATCAGATGCTGTTCATCAAGTTCCCTCAACTACAGTGCTGGCAACTGAAATCCGACCCCTTTGGCGGCACGGCGCGCCGCCAAGGGGGTCGGATTTCAGTTGCCAGCACTGTAATAGTACAATAAAAGCATATAGCTGCTCGCACTGTGCCGCATACATGTACATAGTGAAATACAGTCATACACAAGTCAAGCTCAGTATCCAACTGATCAATGTACGTGTACCATCATTCACTGCCAGTGCAGTGTACTTGTACATGAGTACAGGCTGCTGGCCACATCTAAACAATGACGGTTACAGAAACATGGGCACATCGTTATAGCAGTTATCAGGTCAAAGATGAGTTGCACTGTTTTGCGGCAATGGCAAATCATCGAGTTCCTTGAGTTGGATACGTAAAATACGGTAAAACGTGCCCTAACTGGACGTTGTTGGTGCAGCAGAAACTATCTTGATATGACAGGATTCCGCTTGATCCAGGGATGCACGTTTGATCCACAGCACTTTGGTACAATCATGACAATTTGTCCAGTCAATACAGGATTCAGCTTGGTCACACAGGGTCCGGCAAACACAGCGGGTTTTACTGTGCAATGCATGGGTCATACTGCATGGGTCATACTGCATGGGTCATACTGCATGGGTCATACTGCATGGGTCATACTGCATGGGTCATACTGCATGGGTCATACTGCATGGGTCATACTGCATGGGTCATACTGCATGGCCATGGGTGTGGGTCATACTGCATGGGTCATACTGCATGGGTCATACTGCATGGGTCATACTGCATGGGTCATACTGCATGGGTCATACTGCATGGGTCATACTGCATGGGTCATACTGCATGGGTCATACTGCATGGGTCATACTGCATGCCCCATGGGTGTGTGGAGGTATCGTCATTCATATAATGCTGAGAGTAATGGATCAAGTCGGTTCAAAGTACACTACTCGTTCCCATTCACAGTCTTCCATCTTTGTGATGTCATGGAAGCCGAGTCAGAGAAGCCAAAATCTTGAGGGCGGGCATTAGGATTGGTAGTGACGCATACCAGGCTATGTTTTGATCTTTTTTCCCCGCATCAACACAACATCTTACTACATACTGCATTAAACGCGTGGTTTGCGTTTAAGAACCGGAGTCCAGTAACAACCGCCGGGTAGATGCCTTCTCGCTGACATACTGCCGGGTTGACGACTATCCTCTAGCTTCCACGATGCAGGCAGTAGCAGCAGCGAGGGAGGATTGGACTTTGGACACTCACCGTCCAGAGCGGGTGCGTTGACAATCGGCTCTTTGATTTTCCAGTTTCTGGGAATTGAGTTCCCTCTGTAGGCACCAAGCATGTGCCTGGGCTGTGATCTATGGTCATGCGCAGTGTGCGACATTGCATTAGATCGTTTGCGTGATGCGTAGGCTTGATCTGCTTGCCCTGCCGCCGCCGTGAGTCTGGGTTGGTGCTGGTGACCTACAGTATTCCTGAGCTCAGATCTTGGTGGCAACCTAGGTGGAGAGCTGTGGAGCAATGCACACACACATACACACCCCCACCCCCACACGTGAGTGCACATGCACACACACATACACACACACACACAACACACACACACGTGCACACACACACACACAGACACACACACGTGCACACACGTGCACACACACACACACACACACACACACACACACACACACATACACACACACACACACATACACACACACACACACACACACACACACACACACACACACACACACAAACAAACACACACATACATGAGTTTCTTGAATCAATCAATCATCAGGCAACATAATAATAACGTTTGTTATGTTGCCTGACAATATGTTTCCTTGGTGAGGACCCAGTCGCTTTCATTGTGTGTACAAGCTCCCACCATTAGGCGCTGCATCTGCCGCTAGGGTTTATCGGGTGTAAGCGGCCGTCGTGAGTTCCCTTCGGGAACGGACACGATAATTTTTTTTTTTTACAAGCTCCAGTGCACCCTAGCACTGTTGAGCATTCTTTCAAAGACTTTGGGGTGGACGGGATGGGACCACTTCTCCTGTAGACACAATGATATATACATATAGATTTACAGGAGACGCAGTCTTGTGCGGGTACATGCATAGAACTCGCACAGCAGTAGAATGTTACTGCCGCATTGGCCCGTACAGGTCACACATACAGGATACTACTAGCACATACAGGATACCGTATAGCACTGGTAGGTTCTTTCAACTAGCCTCCATGGCATGAATTATTCCGCAGTAGATGACGCGCCGCAGCCAAGCAGCAGAGTACACTGTAGCACTGAATGCCCCGAGACATGCAGGCCACTGTACTGTAAGCTATCAGTTCTGCAAGGATTTAACCTTAACCAGACCGTGATGTGTGGAGTGATTCCGTGCAGATACTGGAAATAGCGGCTAGTGTCGCAGGCAGTCGGAACTCATTCGCTATGGGTGTACAATTGGCACCAGGCCACGTTGCTTGATGCTTGAGAAGGCGTGAAACTCGGAGCGAGCTCAAGCGTCTCGGTCTCCATTCCAGGGAGCCATGAAATAGTGGGGTGTGACAATTTCTTGCTAATCTACACCGTGCATATGCCAGCAAGCTTTTTCCCTTGCAGTATTGCACTCTATGGGTAGTAGGGCTCTCGGTTTCTTTCTTTCTATTCACTATGCATGGCACCAAACCCAAGCATTGGATCAGGGGACGCTGCATGTTCACACGCACGCACGCACGCACACACGCACGCACACACACACACACACAGTCTCACCTTGACCGTGGCAAAGTCACACGTGTGTGCGCAAAGAAGCCATGACGTTCTGTAGTCTCTCCCAGCCGAGCACCACACCCATCATCATCATTGTCATCATCAGAAGCAGCAGCAGCGCAGGCAGTGTTTTCAGACCTGCAGGGAATCATTGCATATTCAGCTGCTGATGTGAGCTTGACTTTCTCCTGAATCTCTGCTTCATCGCCTTGGTGCATTGGTTCGTGCCTACAGCTGGCATGTGGCACGCTCAAGCTGTGGAGAAAAGGAAACCTTTCCGGAGTCCCAACTCTAACGTACATATAGTCGTTCACACTTTTCATAGTCATGTACTCGGGTTCATCACTCCCGGATTCCCGGCGGTCATCAGGGGTCATGTTCGGTGACTTGGGTAGTGGATTAGGATACCTCCCGGCCCAAGCATGAGGTTGTCTTGGCGACGTCTGCTCTGACCGGTCCAGACTGCTGGTTCTTGCTCCTGTGGGCATTCTGCCAAACTGCACTGCCCCGGAGTACACATACTCATTGTATGGGTCATCATCATCAAAATTGTACTCCACTGGCCTGGTAACATTGTCTTCCAAGGAGTTGCTTCGACACGAGGTTTCTCTCTGCCGCGGGGTGATGGCACCCGACTCTGCTACAGCAGCTGACACATCTGATATTGCTGGACACTTGCACTCGTCATCGTTCCTGGCAAGTTGCTCAACGAAAGATGTTTCTTTCGTTTTTCCGCTGGCCAATTGCACGTCCTCAAGGTGACATTTGCGCTCAGAAGCAGGCCTATGCACAACAGAATATATTCAGTGAGAGTAAAGTACAATAACGTGCGTGTGTCCATTGTACATGATTTAAATACCAGACCAGTTCTGCATTGAATCAAGCATGCGCTACATGGTTCTGTACCCTGACATCTTACACCCTTCTTGATGTATCCAGCACCGCCGGAAGCAGTTTTCAATTGGTCCGGTCATACCATAGTCTTCCAGACAGTTTGTGTATAACATGGCGGGGACATAATGCCCTCCTCACCGGTACACATGTGTAGGTGGCCATGAGTTGGCCCGGCGTTAACCTGACCAACCGGACCGGTTCTGGCGGGCCTGGTACCATGGTGAGGTTAACTTTTCACATTTTCATGAAGAGGAGAGTTTCGTTCAATTTAGGATCCGGTATTTGGGATATCTCTACAAAGGCCTCAACTATTGCAGTGGTTATGCACAGGTAGAACTTGGTGTGCAACCAGCCTCGGATTTAACTACTGCTCGCGAGCAACGGCACTATCTTCAGACCTAGACACTTGCAAGTAGTAAGTATTTGACTGCATATTTTCAACCTCACGAATAATGACAGCCTACGAATAGCAACACTGCTCCTATGCCCGATCGATGGTCATAATTCACAAGGTTGACTGTACTAGTATTCAAGATTGGGCCGATGTGTAGGATGCACTTACCTGCTTGCACTGGACACAACCAGCTGTGCACACGGAGGTGACTTGCTATGTGTCGCTGCTGGCACAGCGTGGTACGCATGAAGACCACAGTCACGGTTAAAAGCAACATCAGCATCAGCAGCATCACCACCTCCCCAATCAGTGTTCACTGTCACGGATTCAATCTCTGAATGCTGCGGCATGAGCTCTGCACTTTCCTCAGCATCCGTTGCCGACCCACTGGCAATTATTTGGTCACCAGAGCTCGTGCGTTGTGAGCCGAGAATGTCCTTTGTACCCTCCTTACGTAAACTACTGCTTGGCGGATCTCCAACAGCACAGCCTGTGTCACCTTTCATTATCATATACTCTGGTTCGCGACCACTCTTGGATTCCCGGCGGACAGTGGATGTCATGCCAGGTGACTTGGGTAGTGGATTAGGAGACCTCCCGGTCCTAGCATGAGGTCTTGGCGACGTCCGCTTTGACCGGTCCAGACTGCTGGTTCTTGCTCCTGCGGGCATTCTGCCAAACTGCACCACCCCAGAGTACACATACTCATTGTATGGGTCATCATCATCAAAATTGTACTCCACTGGCCTGGTAACATTGTCTTCCAAGGAGTTGCTTCGACACGAGGTTTCTCTCTGCCGCGGGCTGATGGCACCCGACTCTGCTACAGCAGCTGACACATCTGATATTGCTGGACACTTGCACTCGTCATCGTCCCTGGCGAGTTGCTCAACGACAGATGTTTCTTTCATGTTTTCGCTGGCCAATTGCACGTCCTCAAGGTGACATTTGCGCTCAGAAGCAGGCCTATGCACAACAGAATATATTCAGTGAGAGTAAAGTACAATAACGTGCGTGTGTCCATTGTACATGATTTAAATACCAGACCAGTTCTGCATTGAATCAAGCATGCGCTACATGGTTCTGTACCCTGACATCTTACACCCTTCTTGATGTATCCAGCACCGCCGGAAGCAGTTTTCAATTAGTCCGGTCATACCATAGTCTTCCAGACAGTTTGTGTATAACATGGCGGGGACATAATGCCCTCCTCACCGGTACACATGTGTTGGTGGCCATGAGTTGGCCCGGCGTTAACCTGACCAACTGGATCGGTTCCGGTGGGCCTGATACCGTGGTGAGGTTAACTTTTCACTTTCTTATGGAGAGCGGAGTTGCGTATAATTTAGGATTTGGTACAGGGATGAATTTATCCTGTGTCGCATCTCAGTTTGCGATGCAAAATTGATCGACTGCTACTCAAAAGTCACCGTGGTTTGCAAAAAGCTGCGATACATACAGACTATCCATGCCTATCCTGCGCTGTCAAGTAGCATGTATACAGTGCAGTGTATGTGGTGCAGGCACTCTCAATTTGCGTGCACAAGTATGACTCAGTCGGTTTTTTTTGCAAATGGGCTTTCAGCATCACTCTCAAGAAGGACAATGTGGTAAATGTACAGTCACCTACCTGTGCCTATATATTTGGCATGGTGCATCCATATGTAATTTAACCCCGCTTCCTATTTCACACCTTCGCGTACGCACATGCACCTCGTATGCACCAGCGGTAACTGTTGCGTGCCTGTGCTGTTACATGCCTACTCTGTCCCTGTGTTCTCCACTTCTCCTTCTGTCTTCATCAAGTATAGTTTGTAATTCCTACCGGAGTGTGATGGTTGTGTTGGATTGAGAGAGTGTGCATGGGCATTTATCCTTAGTGCTGTTGCAGTAACGCAACAGTAAACATCCAACCTTCAAAGAAAAATGCTAATCAAAATCAAAGACTGCTACACAATTGTGATTTTGTATAGCAGAAACTGCTATGCGAAAATATGACAATAAATTCATCCCTGTGGTATTAGGGACATCTCTACGAAGGCCTCAACTATTACAGTGGTTATGCACAGGTAGAACTTGGTGTGCAGCTAGCCTCGGATTTAACTACCGCTCGCGAGAAACGACACTATCTTCGGAACTAGAAACTCGCAAGTAGTAAGTATTTGACTGCATATTTTCAACCTCACGAATAATGACAGCCTACGAATAGGAACACTGCTCCCATGCCCGATCGATGGTCATAATTCACAAGGTTGACTGTACTAGTATTCAAGATTGGGCTGATGTGCAGGATGCCTTACCTGCTCGAACTGGACACAACCAGCTGTGCACACGGAGGTGACTTGCTATGTATCGATGCTGGCACAGCGTGGTACGCATGAAGACCACAGTCACGGTTAAAAGCAACAGCAGCATCACCACCTCTCCAATCAGTGTTCACTGTCATGGATTCAATCTCTGAATGCTGCGGCGTGAGCTCTGCACTTTCCTCAGCATCCGTTGCCAACCCACTGGCAATTATTTGCTCACCAGACCTCGTGCATTGTGAGCCGAGAATGTCCTTTGTACCCTCCTTACGTAAACTACTGCTTGGCGGATCTCCAACAGCACAGCCTGTGTCACCTTTCATTATCATATACTCTGGTTCGCGACCACTCTTGGATTCCCGGCGGACAGCGGGTGTCATGTTCAGTGACTTAGGTAGTGGATTAGGAGATCTCCCGGTCCCAGCGTGAGGTTGTCTTGGCGACGTCTGCTTTGACCGGTCCAGACTGCTGGTTCTTGCTCCTGCGGGCATTCTGCCAAACTGCACCACCCCAGAGTACACGTACTCATTGTATGGGTCATCATCATCAAAATTGTACTCCACTGGCCTTTCAACATCGTCTTCCAAGGAGTTGCTGCGATACGTGTTTTCCCTCTGCCGCGGGCTGATGGCACCCGACTCTGCTACACCAGCTGATACATCTGATATTGCTGGACACTTGCACTCGTCATCGTCCCTGGCGTCTGAATGCATGAGCTCTGCACTTTCTTGAGCATCCTTTGCCAACCCACTGGCAATTATTTGCTCACCAGACCTCGTCCATTGTGAGCCGAGACTATCCGTTGTACCTTCTTTACATAACCTACAGCTTGACGGATCTCCAACAGCATGGCCCATGTCACCTTTCATGATCTTATACTCCGGTGCGCGACCACACTCGGATTCCCGGCGGACATCAGTTGATGTGCATCGGGGCTCGCCTAATGCTAGTAGATTAGGGGGTTTCCCACTCTTGTGATCCGCAGGTTGCACTGATGGTGTCGGCTGTGACTGCTCCAAGCTGGCGTTTCTTGTTCCTGTTGGTATTTCACCAGACTGCGCATACTCAGAGTACGAGTATGCATATTCATTGTACGGGTCGTCATCATCCAAATTGTACTCAACTGGTTCAGCAATAGCCTTTGGCGAGTTACCCCGGCACGACATGTTCTCTCTCCGATGGATGATTCTGTTCGACTTTGCCAAATCTAGTAACTCATCCGGTTGCATCGAACACCCACGCTCATTGTTGTTCGCTGGAAGCTGGTCCGGCGGCTGTGCTTCTCTGCTGATTCCACTGAGTACGTACGCTTCCTCGCGTTCTTCTCTATTGTCAGAAACAGACATACATACAGCAGAAATAGATCAGAGTAAAGGTTGTGTACATATAATTATACAAGAGAAAGGAGAAGGGACACATTGACACGAGTTATGAGCAACTGTCCACCACTGTAGCTAGATGATAAACGTTCATTGAGAAAGTGCGCCGGCAAGACACACCACATTTCCAGAGTGTTGATACGATCAACGGCCTGACACCTGGCTCCAACATATCTCCAGAGTGCAAGCCAGCAGCTTTCCAACTTGGAAGTGGGTTACCGGTAAGTAAACTGAGACTGCTTGAAATGCCGGTCAAGCCATTGGCTCAGAATCTGAGCTTTAAATGCTGCACTTATGATGAGTCGTCACAATCTATATTATGGCAAAACGCACGTCATGTGAATGTAGTCAACTCATCCATGACAAGGCTAGTATCATTCAAGTGGAGTAATGTAGGATATTGGCATTTGGGTCTGCCCAATTCATTTTCCTGCAAAGCTCCTACGGTATTCACCTTCAATAACCTCCGAGTCGCCCAAGTTGGTTGGTGTGGGGCTTCGAGTTTTCGGTTACGGATCACACTGTCCACTATCTTATTGGTCTCATCATGACTTGATCCAGTAACAGCCGTCCTTGTTGTGCTTTGGACATGCGTAGGAGCTAAGTAAAAGGACGTTTAATGTTTCGGCACTCTCCGGCTATAGGGCCTCTGAATCATCTCACTTTCTGACGGTCCATTAGCGCTATAGCTTACAGTGGTGGACAGTTTCTCTAACTAATAATATCATGTGTCCCTTCCCATTTCTATAATATACTCAGTATCCGAATCCGAGAGGGCACAATCATGTGCTGAATAAAGAAGTCATAATGATTCAGGGTGCCACAACTCAGGATTTTTCGGTATCTGAGATACTGCCAATTAATTTTGAGGTTTCTTTTACGCCTGCCATTTTTTGGTGATGCAAAAGTCAACGCTTATCCGCAGGTTTATTATGCATTGACAAGTACATAGTGACTATTGTGCAACATGTAGCCAAAATATTCTGCCTTGGAATACCAATTAATTATTTACCTCGAACCAGTCCACGCTCTGTCCTTTGTGGGAATTTCGGAGGACGACATCAGCAGTTGGTAATTTCCGCTCGATCAAATCCAGAGCATTCCAAGCTTCGCAAGGACTGGAGCTTCAATTTTAGTCCAAACGCCTCGAAGGAAGCCTCATTTTCGTTCCCGCTCCATTCTTGCGAATGAAGCTACTTGTAGAATCTGATTTACGACTCATAGTAGCTGTAGATCTGCCGTGCAGTGATGCCCTTGCGTAGACCTGTGGCCATAGGCATAATAATAAGCCGCATAGTGGCTGTGCGCGTGCAGTGCAGTGCAGGTCAGTCTACCAATGACATTACGCCGATGGCGATGGTGTCACAACGAGTTTCGTGCCATGACAGTGAAGCCTACCTGCAGAAGACAATCAGTGAAGAGAGTTGCCACTGATGTGGCAGTCGAGCCTGGTCTCCAACCGCTGACTGGAGAGCTCTTGCTTCAGTACCGGACCGCTGTCACCGACGACCAGGCCCGATTGAGGCAAAACGAGAGGCGGATAGCTTCGTGACATGACAGCGAACCTGCTGTCTGAAGAGAGTTGCCACTGATTTGTCAGTCGAGCCTCGTCTGCAGGGCGCTGACTGGAGTCCAGCGGAGAGAGAGAGACAGACCTCAATCACACATGACCAAGCCCCGATTGTATTTTGAGGCTAGTGCCAGTAGTCATGGTAGTGGTGTGTGGGGTAGATCATTCGAGCGTGTGTTTCTACCTTCTAGACGTAGTAGATCTACAGCCAGGTTTTTCACCCTTTTCATCGGCAAAATAATTATTGAACATCCTCCTTTGGCAATTGGCCTTACCTCACTCACCGGGACGTTACAGCACCGTGACTCTGAGAACTAGAACTTCGTAGTCAGCGTTTCAACGAAGCGGAGCATGCCACTTAAAAAACTTTCCTACCCTCGGTTTTCTCAGTCAGTGATGGGATGGAAAAGCCTGCCAATAGCTTCTACACTGAGCTGGTCACGTCTTTAGTACCGGTATTCGACAGGACGAAAATAGCAACCCGGCCAAGGGAATTCGTGGACTCGGGACCGTCTTTCATTTGCTATTAGCATCACTTGTTGGTGTAGCACTCGTCGAAACCGGTCCCAGCCAGCCATTGACACAATCATCTGTCGTGAGGATGGTGGCTGAGGGGGTTATCTGATGATGCGGCACTAACTTGTTCGCTCCATGCATGCATGCACAACAACAATTATTACCGGTATGAAAACAATGACGGCGACGACCACAGCGACAGCGGCGATGACAACAACACCAACACCACCACCACCACCAACAACACGTGACAACAATAAAAACAACAACGACAACAACAGCGACAATAACAGCGACAACAACAACAACAACAACAACAACAACAACAACAACAACAACAACAACAACAACAACAACAACAACAACAGCAGCAGCAGGAACAGCAACAAAAATTCACGATCCGCGTATCCGTAGGAACGCCACCCACCCTTCATGAATCAAGGTGCAGATGCAGCTCCTAAAGCAGTGGGAGGTGAGTAGATCAGACCCACCACAAAATGGTCAACGACCGAAAATCCCATTCTCTGCATGCATGGCTGGAAAAAATCCTTCCACTTCCAAGCAGGACTTAAACCTGGTACCCTCAGTGGCCTTAGACCATCCCACTATGCCTGCCAACAACAACAACAACAACAACAACAACAACAACAACAACAACAACAACAACATCCAAAAATACATGTAGAAACACGTCGGTGGTGAAATCACAAAGTGTGATATAGGGAAGTGCATAAAAGCCCGTATATAACGTTAGAAGGGAAGGATGGGCCAAGGTGAGAACCCTGGGCCATGGGTGGCACCAGAAGAGACTGGGCACGTAGGCGACTTGCCAGAGAGGACGTTGACACAAAGCACTTAGACATTGACGAGTTTTGAAAAAGTTCTCATTCAAATAATAGCAAAGACTAGCTCAAGGCAAGCATACTCATAATTATGTCATAACCGTACAAGTATCAGCAGGCGCACATGCATCCAGTGGTTTGTGAGATTTCCCACCTTCTTGTACTCTCTCTCTCTCTCTCTCTCTCTCTCTCTCTCTCTCTCTCTCTCTCTCTCTCTCTCTCTCTCTCTCTCTCTCTCTCTCTCTCTCTCTCTCTCTCTCTCTCGCTCTCTCTCGCTCTCTCTCTCTCTCTCTCTCTCTCTCTCTCTCTCTCTCTCTCTCTCTCTCTCTCTCTCTCTCTCTCTCTCTCCCGCTACCATGCTCAGATGATACTCCGTGCAATCATAAGTGCTGAAGTAGATGTGAAGGTAAATTGTGAAAATATGTATGTGTACATACCGGAAATGTTATAATGTAACAACGGGTACTAGTGGGTTGCACACAGTGCCGGTCATGGTGAGATCATGGTCATGGTGAGATCATGGTCATGGTGAGATCATGGTCATGGTGAGATCATCATGAACAGTGTGACCTTGGTTGCAGTATACCAGGTTATATTGTTATAGACCAGACTTAGAGGTAGCAAATCCTGTTCTTTGCACATGCTATTATTTTATGATTGCAGTTTTTTTGCTTCTGTAGTTCTGAGTGGTTGTGTGAAAAGGTCACTGGAACATATTATACATGCTCACTGCAGGCATGGCAACAGGGCCTGAACGAAACACCAATGTGATAATATAAAAGTAATGGAATTTTGCCCGCATGCAGGTAGGCATGATCCGTCAAGCTCTAGTGCAGTGTTATTGTAAATCAATCAGCTATGTGCCCTATGGAGGAGCACTGGAGTCCGGGAACCACCAGGAAGGCGGCTGTGAATTGGCAGGCGGGGGCTAATGGCCGCCTCCATGCGCTTCTTAGGCTTTGGAGGTGGCACGGGAGGATTTGGTCGAGGGCGCAACACCTCGGGAGAGGCAGCGTGGGAGCCAACCTTATCGGCTTTGCAGGTCCTCGGGAGTGTGTTCGCCTTGTCCATTTCAGGCTTGTCTGCGACGCTGGTGCGGTCGTCACTTGAACGCGGGGACGGTGCTTGCCACCGCTTCGGTAGACTATTCGTGCTGGCCTCACTGAACGGTTTTGGTCCTTGTCCTGATTGACACTGATAGGTGTGATTCTGGTAGCTGGATTTGGGGGACGAACTGGTCGGTGCGGAGCTGAAGTAGGAGGTCAAAGAGGAGACCAGGAGAGAATAGGCCGGAGTGAGTTTCAACACCCCCCCCCCCCCCCCCACACACACACCACTCTATGTGTTGCGGATCCGATCAGGAAAGGGCTCTCATTCTCTCACCTCTCTTCTCACTCACGGCTTCTGTTGGAACGTTCTCCATTTGTTAGTGTTTGTCTTTGTCTACCCATATATTACTCAGTACGTCGTAATTTGACACCGCTTGAATATTCTTAACTTGCGCATTTCACCGTTTGCAACGTGGCTCCTCTGCCTCAGTTTCCGTTCTATTTCTCTGACAGGGGCAGCAACCACCCGTCTGGTGGGTGCCAGCATCTCCCGGCAGTCGCGTTGGAACTCTACAATATGTATTGTTCTTCGATAATTAGGAATCTGCCTTTCTAGCTCTTCGCCATCCGAACTATTATTTATTTGTGCTGTTTCTTGCAGCACTCGCTTTTGACCTTTTTGCATATGTCCGCGTGTGCACTGATGACATCATGCATTATTTTCGGTCACGTGTTTCGCTTCGCGCTTGCAGCTTGTCATTCAAAATGCTGGAAGTTGAAACTGCGCTCGCACTCGTCAGATTTCTTTGCTTGCTGTTTTCTTTGCCAGTCGAGCGTGGGGACGCTACGGTGTCATCCTCCTTGGCTGTGCGCCCGGTACGGGGCCGGGTACGTGCGTCCCCAGCTCTCCGTTCTTGGTTCTTTTTTCTCCTTTTGATTTTGATGCTTCAATTGAGTTTTGGTAGTTATTGTTTGTTCGAAGACATGTGTTTCTAAACTGTTTGTGACGAGGGATCTCGCTCGACCCGTGTGTTAGTCTGACGACCTGGGACACGTGCACGTGCACGACCGACCTGGGACACGTGCACGTGCACGACACTATGCAAGCAGGCTCTGGCAGAGGGATTTTTCTAAATATTGCAAGTTGCAATCACAAAGGAATACGCACCACCGACACCGGGCACCCCTTGAGAAGGTGTTTGCTTCTCTGTGCCGTCCGTGAGGTCTGAATGCTGCACGCGGTGGGCGCATGCAGCCAACGCGTCTCCAAAGCAACAAGACATGTTTAGCAGTTGTGGAGAAATCACGTAGAGCGAAACCCAACAGCGCAGATTTTTACGTTTGAAAATTACGTGCAGTTCCTACGTTATTTTCATACGTAATTCCGCAGAGCGAAACCTCCCTAATACGTCATACCTGGTAACAGTAGATTCCGTCGTAATGTATACTCTAAACCAGCTGAGGGTAACTACTTGCACACAACAAAACACCACATGGCATGGGCCAAGGTAAATGTATTTTCAGTGCTACTCCGCAGTGTGGCTTACCGTGCGACGTGCGGTAGCGTGGCCTGTGCATACGGACGCAATGGCACTGAGCGTCCATCCGGATTGTCGACCGCGCCACTCACACTAGCTGCACAATCACTGGCCGCCTTCCCAATGGCGAACTGTGCATACGGAGATGGCTGCATAACATAACGTTCATTCCGGTCTGGGTCGTTGTCAGTCAAGCCACTCACCACACAGTGCTGTGTTTTGCGATTTGACAAAGAACTCTCCTCATGACCGGCGGGATGAGGTAAAGTTCCACTTGTGTACTCATCAATCTTGTGATAGTCGAGAGCATCATCCTCATCATCCTCGCTGTCTGCTGGCACTGTGGAGTCCTTCACATCACAGCTTTCGTGTTTTGGAAGCCGCAACCCAGTATTGTCTGGTGTCAGCATTTGACCAGGAGCGGAAGGACTTGAAACTGCAAGTGGACACACCAGTTCCCGCATTGTTGAGCTATTCGAGCCATGGCGAGCAGCAGGAGGAGTGCTGGCCAAGAACATGGTTGATGATGGGCAGGATGATGACATGCTTGTGCTAGTAGTTGGTGACTTGGCAGGTAGCGGCAATAAATATCCCGATGGCGTTTGTGATAGACGCGTTGTATCGCTGACAGTAGTGTGGGGTTGTGATGATGACGTGAGAAGCGGTGGGGGAGAGTACAACTTGTCTGTACAGTCCATTTTACCCATCCACGACTCTGAATGCACGTATTCCTTATACGGATAAGCATCGGGACTGTTCCCACCTTGCCAGTCTTCAGATTCCTGAGCACTATGAGCCGATTCCTCTCCGGGGTAATCAACATAGAGGTGGCTTCTCGGACCGGCCGCAGCCAAACCCTTCGCTGGACCACTTGAGCCACTGCACGAAGTCGGATGTTCATCGCCAACATCTGGTGAGCACTGGAGAATCGAGGCCGCCTCTCTGATGCGCTCATCAGACTGTTGGAGCTCCTCAGTGCTATCTGGCTGAGACAGATCACTTTGACCGAGCCGGTTGAGGATAGAACCAAAAAACTCTTCAATTGCCAGGACAGGAAGCCCTTCACTGGCTGCCTCTGCCATCGTCGCACTTGGTACCGGCATCGGCGATCGCCGTTCCCTGTAAACAGAGTGCTTGCGTGATTCTTCCAACAGCCTGCTGATGTTGCGAGACAGAACCTTCCCATCTTCTCGCTCAGATTTCGACCTACGCACCAGAAAGCAAGAGACACATGGAAACAGTGTTCCACAAAGGCAAGCTGTAGACAAACTGATGGAAGATGAAAAGGCACTGCCAGCCCATCATGCAACTCTGCTCATAGGTGACAAATCGAGAGAATCAGAGGTTCGAACAAGTACTTGATAGACTGTTGCACAGTGTAATGTTAAATTTTGCCAAACTGGCCTGGCAATTTGAAGATGATCTGGCCAATACTACGCGAGGAATACCTGTGACAAAGTCTGGCTCTTTCTAGGGCCTTCTTTGGCAGCAAAACAGGGCAGGGAGACTGCATTGTCACACATGTTGATGTACATTCAATTGTTGGTCTATAGCCATGGTCCCGCTTCCGAGTCCTCGTGGTAGTGAGAGTCATTTTTCTTCAGACTTTCCCCTTTTACCACCTTCAAACCTACTGCAGCGTGGTTTTTTCAAGCATTGGGGCACTCCATGAGCTAGTTATCATGATGTGTGTGGGTACAATGAGGATTGCATCCCACCTGCCTGCGCACTTTCATAGGAAGTGCGAGTCTCGAAGTCTAATTGGAGTGTCGGGCGGTATCTGCTGGGATAGCAACCACACTGTAGCTCAGTGGTAGACCATCGGTGGGCTATAGCAAAGGTCCCTGGTTCGAGTTCGGGTGGTAAAAGTCAAATTTTTCTTCAGGCTTTTCAGTCCCGTCCAATCGAGCTCGAACTGATACAATGTGCTTCGAATTATGTGCACTCAATTTGGTACTATTGGTAAGTTGGTCAAACAATTTGAACACATGAACATCATTCCCCATGGAACTGCCCCTCCATGCCTAACGACCTGCTCTCGACCGCGCTCTCCCGCAAACTGACTGATCCTTGTCCAGTACAGTGACATTACTGAGTACCAATAATTTCTGAAGCTAGAGCAGTGGATCGAAGTACGGCCAGGTCAAAGTGTGGCACACGTACAACTTGAGTGGCCAGACCTGCTGCCGTACCCGTGAACGTACACATGTACACGTTGCATCACGTGTACATCACGCATTGCCATATTCACACCAACACGTCTATGACCCGGGTAGGCTGGATGTTCATTTCGAATTTAGGGGTGAAACGGTTACCCTTTAAGGCTACAAACGGGTACCTGGCTTAACGGGCGGGTTATCGGGTACCCTTTAGCAGCCAATAGTAACAGCTACTATACATTTCGTGCCAGGAGGACATGCAAAGTCATGCAAATCACAGCAAGTACACTACAACGCGGCACGCGCACTTACCGCGCTGCATGCAAAACAGTCAAAATTATGTAGCAGGATCGAACAAACAACACATTCAAACTGTACATCGAATTGTGCGACTGTGCAAACCAGCTAATATTATTACCATACTGTACCGTCGTACACAGCTAATGGGTACTCGTTTGCTAACGGGTCAGTAGCTAAACAAACGGGTACCCGGATCACCCCAATTTCGATTCCAGTCAGATTGTCAACACACGGTAATTATAGACCTGGTTTAAATCTCACCTGCCCGAGAACCCCTCAAAGTCTGGATGTTCTTGAATCATCTCGGTGAGCAGCTGGCGAAATGTTTTCTTAATCTCCTTTTCCCCGGTAGTTTCGACTGCGCAATACTGACCGTCTGAGTCAGGATCCCTCAGCACCACTGGCTCCTTTGCATGTGCAGTTATCAGCGCAATGAGGCGTGCGCGGAACAACGCCTTGCACTCCTCCACGCCATTCACCACTCTGCACATGTCCATGGTGGTGTAGGAAAAGATGGCCGACGAGGAGGTCCACGTCTGCGTGTGCCGCTTCACGTGCCGTGCCATGAACGCATCGCCCGCAGCCAGCGTGGCTCGCTTCTGCTCGGCTCTCATTTGCACAGCATTCAGCCACGGGATCGGACCCATTGGCTGGCCGCGCAGTGAAAGAGCATGATGTGCAACGTAAATGAAAGGCATGTCAACGCCGCAACACTCTGCAGACGAGACAAAGAATGCTGGAATAGAGATTTTGCCATATCTGAATCCAATGCGAGACGGATCGTCTCGAAACTTGCCGGGGCTTTTCTCTCCGGAGAAGAACTCCACGATGTTCAAGCGTTTACTCAACTCCGGAGCGTCCTCACTCTGGCTGAACACGTCACACTTGCTTATCATGATTGCCACTGAGGCCTCGCGCTTGTTCTTCGGAATGTTCGCCCAGCACTTCTCCCACATCTGCCACTGGTGTTTGCGCTGAGCACGTGTAGCCGTCGGGTCCAGAACATACAGATAGGCTTGCACTCCAGCGCCGCCGCCATCTCTGCCTCTGACGTTCTTGCTAAAGTACTCTTTCGGAAACGACGTGCCTTGTGTACTCTTTGCTCGCGTCAGCTCTCCGAGATGAGAGCGACAGCTGTAGACAACTTTGTTTGCTTCTTTCGGCTTGACAAAGTGGCGAGTGCTACGTTGCTCATACGACTCGGCTCCGGCAAACGGCTTTCCCGTGAATGAATCCACAAAGGTCGTGTGCTCGACGACGTGAATCGACAGGCCATTTCCATCGGACTTCACTTGGCTACCACCACCTCCACCACCACCGTGGTGCATCAGATAGAAGTCACGACGTCCACAGCCAAAGTAGAGGAAGTGATCGCCGCCAATCTCCGCCTCCTGGAAGTCGGCCTGGTCGATCCAGTGAGAGTGATCATTGCCAAGCACACTCCAATCGTCCACGCCGGGACTGACAAACCTCGAACACAAGCTCGACTTTCCAACGCCGGCTGTGCCCTGCTCCATACCCGACGAGCATAGGCCAAGCACGGACAGACGACATTCCGGCATGATTATCCGTTTCGTCCAGCGCACCGTCACTGCAGTGGCTCAGTCAGTGCAGTTTGTTCTGTTGAAATGAACCAGACTGCCTAACCGTCCGAGAGAAGAATTCTTTTAGCGGTGTCTCTCTAGCTGCATCGAAGCGGCAACGATATCCGTTGGTAGCCTGATGCCCTCAAGCAAATATTACTGGCCAGCGTCCCCAGAGACAAGAACTGCCAGCGCAATCACACGGTCTCTTCTGTTTCTGTTCGTCAGGAAGGCGGCTGAGTGACATTACCGAAGCAACTTCCTGCAGATGAATTACTCCGAAATCCACAGAGCGCGTGCTCTGCTTTGAGACGAGGCATGCAGCCCAAGCGAAATCTCTGCGGCCTACTAGTAGTTGCTCGAGACCGCAGTCGCAATTCCATTGATAAGCAAGCTAGAGCTAAGGTCCGCAGGTGCGGCCAACTGCATCGCTTCAAGAAACAGCGAAATGAATAGGAAGAACGATGGATTTGTCATTGCCAGGAGGAAAGCATAGATTTCAGGACAGACAGTGCATGACCGTAATGTACTGATGTACATGTATGCATATTCTGCACTGGACAGTCAGTGTACTTGTAACAGTGAGTAACGTTAGCATAGAATACAATGTACTAGACAAAGACTTGTATAACTAAGTAACTAGTATAAGAGTGTAGAGCGGGATCAGGGAGGCCATTCCCATACATCGCCAGATCACATTTTAGCAGTGACAGCCATCTGCTGCCTGCACCGAACAGCCTAACCTTGGCTTACCGGTACAGGCTTGGTTGAGCCCGACCACTACTGCCGTACTGGCACTAGGCACCACCCCAACACGGCAACAGACTCAGTTGAGTACATGTCTACTCAGTAGCAGCTGTTCCTACTACTAATATGCCCGTGAATAATGGTTGTTTGCAGGGAGTCGTATTTTTATTTATTTATTTATTTCACTCAACTCGTGGTTCATGACCAATTGGCACGCAAAGTGCGAGAGAGGGGTGATAGCCAACCACGGCGTATTAGAGTCTTATGCTGACCTTTCATTCAAACTTCCAGTCAACTTGCCCATCATGCTGGCGGTTTATACTGGGCATATAAACCTCATACAAACCCCATAGACCACCACAATACAAACTCCTTTTTAGAGATTGAGAATGTATGAAGGTCAGCAAGTATAATACATCCCACTAGTACGCTTGTACGTGAAATATAAACCATCATACAAACCTCGGCTTCGCCTCGGTTTGTATGTCGGTTTATATTTCACGTACAAGCGTACTGTTGGGTTGTATTATAATTATACGTATTCGACTCCCTGATTGTTTGTCAACCATGGTCAACAGTGACACTGGTATTATGGGGCCGTGTGACCTACTCAAGCTCAACTGACCTAGCCCAATTCCAAGGATGCCAAACCCCGGAAGTTTGCGCATCGGAATGTATGTTCGATCCCAAGCCTGGACGCGTGTGTTGGCGGCGCGGAGCTAGCGCTAGAATGGTCATTTCCGTGGTCTACAGACTACAACTAACACTTACTGTACAAGTGCAGTATCTCTGTGAGACGTCAGAACATTGTTTAGCTACATGTAAAATTTAGTGTGTGTCAAATCCGTGGTTTAGTGTTTTTTTCTTTTTTTCTACAAAATCCACATATATCTCCAGACACTGGTGTGTGTCTTTACTAGCCTTCCTAGCCTCCACGGGAAGCACTCTCGAGTCTCTGGTGCATGCACATTCTACATACATGTACAGTGTAAGTACAATGTACATACCAATGACATGTACATTGTACTTACACTGTACATACATGTACAGTGTAGCTTGCCCAGCAGTTGACCATGGTTGACACGCGGGCATGCATGCATACCATTGTCATCATGGCATGACTGTCTCTAAGTCTGACTACCGTGTTACTTCACGCAGGTCACTGCAACATGTCAACACTGACAACAGGTCACTGCAACATGTCAACACTGACAACAGACGTCAGTGTTGCAAAGATTGGATACGCTAGTCGTTAGACAAACAGCGACGGAAGCCTTCTCCAGCCATGCTCAGGAGATCATGAATCCCAGGTTTCATACACTCTTGCCATGTCACAGATGCAGTTACAATGACGTAGTATGTATTGTTACCAGGCCCATGATGTGCTGTTAGCAACAGAACACACTGCAGAGCCCCCCCCCCCCCACACACACACACATACTGCCACTATTTTACAAGCCGGCATACATGTACCTGGTAACATCTCACCACATGTCAGACACACACACACACACACACACACACACACACACACACACACACACACACACACACACACACACACACACACACACACACACACACACACACACACACACACACACACACACACACACACATGCACACACACGCACGCACACACACGCACACACATACATGTACAAACACGCACATGTACACATAAACACACACACAGGTGTACACACGCACACACACACAACAGACGAATCTAAATCATGTGCCTCCACTACTCATGGAGGAAAGGATTCAAATGAGACGAGGTTTTCACCTTTGCTGGGCAGAAATCTCACTTTTCTCCCTTGTTTGTTACAATAGAGACGTCTCTCTCCCGAGTCCCGACGAAACGAGTAAAAGACAAAACCCGTTTGCAGTCGGCCTGCAGCAGGAAGTGAAACGAGGAGGCATGCCATGCTGGCCTATGCATGGCGCTTAAAGAAAAGACACGCTAACCATTTGGCGACAAGCCACGAGCAACCAGAGAAGCGACCCCGCGGTGATGGCAGTGTGTCTGAAACTTCAGTGCAAGAACAATGACCACAGCCTGATTGGTTGGTCCACCGTGACCCCAGGTTCCAGTTTACTCCAACGCCACAAAGCGCTGTCAACGATGCCTGCCTAAGATTGAAACTGGAGATCAGGCAGGCAGACAGAGCTGGTCTCCAAGACTTGTATTAGTGCAGGCACGAAAACAAGTATTAAGTACATGTATCTGAGGACTTACGAGGGTCAGTACATTACATGTATCTGAGGAAATTGTCACCATCATCAGTGACATGAACAACTACACCTCGCTGACTAGGTGCTGGTCTGCCCGGCGAGGCATGTTCTGATGCTGTCGGTACTGGCAATATCCATAGTTTTCTACTCTCTTTTTCTTTTACTGCATTCATCTCACCTCGGCTCACGTCACTGATGCTGGCAGGCAAGGTGCAGATACACCTAGACCTGGATATCCTGCGGTACGGTGGCGTGCCTGATGTAGTCTTTCCCTAGCGGGCCTGCCTGCCATTTCTGCCACATCCAACTGGCACACCAAACGACGTTACGTTGTTGGGAGTACACCACTGACACACTCATGCGATGTCACCCTCAAAACAACTTATCCTTTGGACATTGTAGTCGGCGCTGTCTGAGAATTGCTTGTGCGTGAATTTCAGAGCCTTAGCAATAAAGTGTTGTTTCCCATTATCTCTGTGTGACTAAGACAATAATAATGACTACACCCAGCTCGCAGGTGTATCGAACAATCCCTCCAGCTACCACAATTCGCCCGCAGTGTACATGACATGTGTTTATTCAATATACGTGCCAGTTGATAAGCGTTTTCCTTCCGAAGTATTATCGACTCATCCTTATCGGCTCCGCAGGTTCTCACGCCCATCTGGAATGGCTGAAAAGCTTGCCCACTCCACCCTGGAGTGCAGATTGGCCGTGCTGGGGACGTGCTGCTCAATGCTGGATCATGGCGAGAGTGGAGTGGGCAAGTCTAGTCTCTGTAGCAGATTCATTCATCCAGGCGTGGATACTTGGCAAGAACTGGGTCACGATCACTCGCACTGGCTGAGCCAGACTGACTTCTCCGAAGCGGAAATCAATGGAGATCATTTCGTCTACTTTGGAGCTGCAAAGCGACTGTACTTGCCCAGGGGATCGAATCCATTGAGGTCTGCGGTGGAGCTGCGTATTCATGTCGTTGAGCACACGACTTTCATCGATGATAGCCGTGGTTGTCCATTCCCCGGAGCCGAGAACTATGCAGATCGAGCCACTAGTCCCACCATACATGTACGATCCTCTACCATGGTAAAACACCCCTACACATGTCGCTCTCGTCTAGGACAGCACACGCCTCATACGCAATCATCCAAGTTACTCTCCGCAGCCTGCAGTCGAGAGCTTGGTCCCTTTCCCAAAGCATACTCGTCGCATGGAGAGGGTGTTGACGGTTACCTATTTGTCTTGGACCCCAGCAAATCCTCCGCTTGCCGACAGTGCCAGTGGAAGGTTTTCACCCATTGTTGGCGGAAGATCCCCGACAAGAAGAAGAAACACGGTTGTGCCATTGTTCTGACGAAATGCGACCTGCTCCCCAACGACTTTGACCTGAACGGCAAGAACATCAGCATTGTCAAACTATTCCAAGGTGAAGCGCCCACTGGCACTGGGTCACAGACAGCATCAGCACAGACCTTCCAGGATTGTCCGGGGAAACTGGCCATATCCTGTGGCAAGCATCAGGTGCCTGTGTTTCTGGCGTCGGCGGAGTGCTGTTATGGCGTTGACATGCCGTTCGTGTACCTGGCACATCGTACTCTCAAGGTATTCGGTCGACCCAGTCTGCCCATGACTCGTGCGCAGCTGGTGCAGATAAAGCAGAGGAAGCAGCATGAAATGCTGCGGTCATTTAATCAGTTCTTGAAGCGTCGCGTCACGGAGCATCGGATCACGTGGAGCAATGTGTGGCCCGTTGATCATGACGATGAGACTGCAGAGCGGACCAGGGAGATGTGGCGGAGTGTGCTGGGCTCGGCGGTGCTAGAGGCCGTGTTCAACTCGCACATACGACGGATAGAACAACCCACCAACAAAGACAATGCACATGCACCATGGGAACATGGTCAACAGACTATGTGTACTGGTACCAGCCCGAGGTAAGCTGGCCCAGACGGCTATAATGTTACTACTTTACTACTAACTTCTCGATAGTGTTAAAAAGGTGTTTTCAAAGACTCCGCTGTAGCCATGCACTGAACTAGTCTTGTTCACAAAGACACAAATCCATACACCACCAGCGAAACGCTCTCTAGGCTACAATTATTGAAAAATTATAGCAGTTTCTTGATCCAAGTGTTCGGGTCAGGCGTATGTTCCTGGGCAGCGGAGAGACCGGTTTCTGTAGGTGGTTGGCAGTGTTGCCAGTGGTGAGTGGTGGCTGTCGCGGTGGTATGGTATGGGTATGCATGTGCTTGCGTATGCGTGTGCGGTGTATGTGCGTGTGCGTGCGTGCGTGTGTATGTGCACGCTAAGGGTAAGGGTATATGTAGTAACAGTTACTCGAAGTAGTATTCCTGACTATGGCCAGTATGGCTTACGTGTATGGCATTACATTTCACTTAACCACAACGCTGTGAAGCTTTGTTCAGGTGTCTGTCAGCCTAGTGTCAGGTACACAATAATATCACAATTTCACTACAGCCGTACAGGTGCACCTGCAGTGTGAGAAGTCCTGTCTTTCCTCTGTTAATTCCTGTTAATTCCTGCAGGGATGAAAGCACTGTTAATTCCTGCAGGGATGAAAGCACTGTTAATTCCTGCAGGGATGAAAGCACTGTTAATTCCTGCAGGGATGAAACCACTGTTA